AGGGGGGGGGGGTATTAACATGTTCTTATGCACAGTAGAATTGTATATGGGCTATCAATGTCATGCTCATACTGTGCCGGAACAACATATTATGTGGAACTGATGCTTTTTCTTTCCTCATCGTCATTTTCCTCTACTTCTTTTGTATGTTTGCCACTCTCTTGTGAAGTGCTATTTCCGGGGTGCCTTGATAGTCAAAGCAGATTTGTGCTGTTGAGGCTAAAGAGATGAACAGAGTAAGCCTGATTCCCCGTTTGGACTTCTCTGTTGACATCCACCCTTGGCTCTCATATGACTTTATGCAGTTGCGAGTGCCGTAAAATCTTACTAAAACTAAAACTGTGTTTGTCCTGATAGACAAAATCGTGGCAACATGCCTCCAATAAAGTCTACAGATCTATCTAAAATGTGTAGACTGAGAAGCACAGCATTAACAAGTATTTAACTCCCAGTAACCATTCGTTGACACCCTACTCACTTGGGAAGTTCATTCAAGTGTGCAGTACGCGCTGTGGCAACGTGGGATTTAATACGGCACACTCATGAGGACATAACTCGTCTTGTGCACGGCTGTCACAATTTTTAATAATTTAATGTTTGCACGGTCATTCATGCGTGCAGTCAGGCTGAGCATGTAACAGTCCGGGGGAGCCCGTGGGTGTGGGGGGTGGGAGGATTGTTTTTGGTAAGTGTTTTTACGGCGCTCGCAACTGCATAAGGTCATATGAGCGTGCGGGACACACCTAATATTTTCAGTTGGTAGGAAAATTTGAATTTTGCCCAGGTGGCGGCCGAAGCCCACTCTTATCGATTTTAGACCACCAAGGGATCTTTAACGTGCGCAACTTGCACACGGGCCCTCCGAGATTTTTCGCCCTTGTCCGAAAAGGCTAGGTGTAGATCTTTCCTACCAGAAGATCAGGGGTGTGGCAGAAAGACAGCAGTTTGGAGGAGCCAAGAAACAGTAGAAAGGCTGCAGAAAGAGTCAGGAGCCCAGAGAAGGGGGCAAAGTAGGTGAGGGGGTGGGGACAGAAAGTGGAAACGAAAACTGACAACAGAACATTGCTAGAGAGCAGGAAAGGAGGTGAAAGGAGACAATTTTAGAGAGGAAAACTTTTTGGTCGCTACCCGGATTCGAACCCGGGACCTTTGCATGAGAGGCCAACACCTTAGTCTCTAGGCTACGAGAGCCCCCCGAGGATTGTTTGTTTTAGTAGAGGCTTTACGGCGCTCGCGACTGCATAAGGTCATATGAGCGCCAGAAGATTAGAGGCGTTACAAAAGGGTAACAAACATAAAAAAGAAGAAGGGGAGATAAGGACGATAGATGTTTGATAGGAAAGAAGGAGCAAACCACACCAGAGCACCCGCCAACCACCCACGGGGAGGGAGGAGTGTTGAAGGGTTGGAAAAGCCGCGCGTACTGTGGCAGTGAATTGTGTCATGGCGCAGTGGAATCAGGCGCTCGTCAATTTTTGGGAATGTGGAGTTATTGGTACCACCTTTAGGCTTGTTCATTTGTCTTGCTTTTGATTTTAACAAAATAATAAAATACTCATCTATCTTTAATGGAAGTCGGGATATTTGCGATTGAAATTGAAGGGGGTGAGAGTCGCTTGCTTTCAGAGGTAAAATTAGCGAGAAAATGGCCTCCAAAGTTGAAATTTGCCTTGGTCGTTAATTAATGAAATGGCAGTGGATATTACAAATTAAAGGTTTGGTGCACTCCTGCACACGCACAACTGGACACCGAAACACGATCTTGTCGCAGCAGGAGCAGCGCCAAAAAATAGATAGATAGATAGACATATAGATAGAGAAAAAGAGAGAGACAGAGAGGGAGAGAAATAAATAAAAAGAGACAGAGAGAGACACAGAGA